TAGGCAGCTGAGTCGTTGAGCTGGTATTCCCTCGAGCGGCCAAAGCAGGCCTGCACACCATGGTCAGCCCAGAGCCTCCGGATGACGCCGGACAGGTCATCAGGGAGCACACCCTGCTCCTCAGCAGTGCAGGACAGTGCAAACAGCTGCCTGGCATCGTCCTGGGCACAGCGGTGGATGGTCAGGCAGTTGAAGGAGTGTACCCCCACTCTGCCAAAGGCAGGGAGACCTCTGGAATGGGGCCCAGGCCAGGGTATTCTTGGGTTCCCCAGGATGAGACTTGCCCTGAAATCTTTTGGGAGGTGAGAGAGGGTGGGGAGCAGGGCACATACCGCTCTGGAGGGGTCGGCAAAGTCGATCTGCAGGTTGCCCATGGCCTTGACAATGGCCATGATGGACTGGATGGTGTTGCTGTAGACAACCGCCCGGTACTGCCGGCATTCCTCCTCGGAGTAGCCGTCCTCGTGGATGATCCTGACAGCCAGGGGCCAGGAAGGTTAGTGACCCCAGAGCACTGGGAGTTCCCATGGCTGCCTGGGGCTGCTGGGACCTGCTTCAGAGAAGGGGAAACTGCTCCTGACCCACTGGGACCCAAGGATAGGTGACTGCCTCTGAGAAGGTTCTGGGCCTGGCTAAGACTGGCTGGGCCTATAGTGGGAGGCAGTACAGGCCCAGCGGATGAAGAGGGGAAGTTGGAGTTTGGGCGCTGCCTCTGGTGCACAGCACTTACTTCATCTGCTTGACGATGGTGCTCTTCCCTGACTCCCCAGCACCTGGAACAGAGGGCATGGGTGGTCAGGCACAGAGGGGCTCCAGAGGCACAGAACAAATGCCCAGACACCCTGTAGCCCAGGAGGCAGAACTAACCCTCCCATCAGCTGTACTGTGAGATGGAGGCAGCTGGGCCTGGTGGGCAGTTGAGCTACCAGGAATGCAGCTGCAGGACCACAGTGGTCAAGGTAACCTGGAGCACCTGTACCTCATCGCAGACTCTCTGCCGGCCTTTGCCTCCCAGGAGCTCTGCTGCCCACGTGGCTCCCCACTGCCCTGGTTGAGTTCAGGGGTCTTGGCTGGAGACTTGGCCAGCCCTGAAGGAGCCACCCTGTTCTCACAAACACGAGCTCGCCACCCTGTGCAGCTGGTGCATGCCAACACGGTGCCTTGGGCAGAGCGGGCAGGAAGATGCCCTGCATACTCCATCCAACAGGGTGGCAGCCCTTCTTCTCCCCATATTCCGAGCCTTAGCAACCAGGGGCCTAAGCAGGAGCACAGTGTCACACTTGAGCTTTCAGGACATGGCCCAATGCCCCACCCTCTGCTCACTGTGCCCAGGTCTGACCTGAGCAGATGGAGGCTAGACAGCCATAACCTGGGACACCTACAGACACACACACACACACACACACACACACACGCGCGCGCGCGCGCGCCCATACTGACAAGCTTTTCCCTGGCCTGGTAGAGCCCTGCCCCATATTTCTCCTTAGCTGGTACTGAAATATGCCACATTCTCTCCTGTGTTAGTCACAGCAGTCCCAGAAACAGATACTGTTTCTGTTCCCATTCTATAGATGAGGACATTGAGGCTTAGAAAAATAAAGTCTTGATCTAAGATCACGCAGCCAGGACTCAGAAGAGCAAGAGGGTGCAGGGAACCATGATGCCTGGTCCACCCTCCCATTCTCAAAATGTGGCTGAGACCCTGCAAAGCAATGCCCTGGGAGGTATTTTAAAAAGCAGATTCCCAGGTACCATCCCAGACAACAGAGCCAGATATTGAGGAGTGTAGCCCAGGAACCTGCATGACCCAGGGAACGTGTGTAAGGAAGGACCAGGAGGGCCATCCATCTCCCAGGCTGGGGGCCAGAGAGAGCAGAGGCAGGGCCTCACCTTGCACTTGCCCCCTTGCTGCTCGCTGTCTTGAGCTCCAGGTCGAATGGCCCTCAGCTGGGCCCCCGCTCTCCTTCCCAGACCCTCTGCTCCTGCCCCATCACTGCCAGTCACACCTGCAGCTCAGCTGCCAGGCACTGCCTCCAGCCACCTCCAGGACCCTGCTCATGCTGTTCTCTTTGCTGGGAATACCTGTCCCACGCCCCATTCACAGAGTCCCAATTCTCCTGATCACTGTGGCACATCTGTCCCTCTGTGCAGCTTTGCTGGGTGGGCAGTGGGGTCTGTGCAGAGGTCAACTTGGGTACTCTGACCACCTTCACCAGCATCCCCTGGGGCTGGTCAAGACAACCTCAGAGGAGGAAGGTGCTAACACACAAATGAACACAAGCAGCAACAATAACATCAGCAATAATGACAGCAAAGCTATATGAAAACAGCGCCCACTATATGCCAGATGCTGCTCTACATCGATGACACCCACCAACTGCTGTCTCCACAGCAATCCTGGGAGGTAGGTTCCATTCTCACCCTGCTTTAACCAGTGATGGAACTGAGGTCCAGGGAGGTTGAGGTCACAGGGTTATAGTCCCCGCTGCAGGGAGCACATGTGCCCACCATGCAGTCCCTCCTAGAGTTGTCCTGAGTGCCTGGTACTGCAGCGGGGACACACGGTCCACCTGTCACTTGGTCCACTCTCTACCTCCCCAGGCAGACTCTGGGCCATGTCTGCAGTGCTCAACAAGCAGCAGTAGGCATTGGGACATGGTGGCAGACCTTGCCAAGGCCCTTGGCCACCTTCAGCCCCCATGCCAGAGACCACCCTGAGGGGAAGGGCCTGAGCCCTCCTCACAAATGCCACCAGGTGCCTGCCATCACTGCACTTCTGATTGTCCCAGGCCCCCTTTCCAGGACTACGGCAGGGGACTTGGGGAGTGACAACTAGTTGAGTATGATGTTTCTTTTCGGAGGTGGTGATAATGTTCTGGAATTTTAGATAGCAGTGATGGTTGCACAACCTTGTGGACATACAAATGTGCAGGCCCTGGGCAGCTGGGGGGCCATGGCTGGGACAGCAATGCCCTCTATTGCTTCAGCCCCTGGCCACTAGAGGCGCCAGGCCCAGTATCTTCACTGGGGTGTATACTGGGGTATATACCAGCACCGCTCCCTCCCCATTGGGCTGTGCATGGCAGAGGCACAGCCAGGATCTCCATACTAACACTCCTCCACCTGCCGATGGGGACATGGGGGAAGGTCCCAGGAAAGCCTCACAGTGATGTCCAATCATAAAGGCCCAGACTCAAGGCATCCATTGGGGCAGGGAGGGCAGCAGTGGCTATCCTCCCCACTGGCTCCTTCAGAGCAGGAGGAAGAACCAGGGGCCAGTCACAGCCAGAATGGGGGGGGGGCACTGGGGGAGCAGAGGCCAAGGATGTGAAGTCATGGGTTAGATCCATCATGTCATCCCCAGCCAGGCAAGCCGAGACTCAGCAGGCAGCTACACAGGCCACGGGCGACCTGAAGACTAGGGTGAAAGCTGCCCCCTCTTCTGTGACTTCAGGGGCTCCTGCCCACCTGAGGCATCAGTTTCCCTATATGGCCACTGGGAGTGAAGAGGGGGTCTGGGCTTTTGACCACTCTTTTTTTTGAGACAAAGCCTTGCTCTGTTGCCAGAGTGCAGTGGCGCAATCTCGGCTCACTGCAACCTCTGCCTCCCGGTTCAAGCAATTCCCCTGCCTCAGCCTCCTGAGTAGCTGGGAATACAGGTGTGTGCCACCACGCCCGATTAATTTTTTGTATTTTAGTAGAGACAGGGTTTCACCATGTTGGCCAGGATGGTCTTGATCTCCTGACCTTATGATCCTCCCGCCTCAGCCTCCCAAAGTGTTGGGATTACAGGTGTGAGCCACCGTGCCCGGCTCCTTTGAGCACTCTTAGTAGGTGATGTGGGCTGCTCTGTGACCCTGCCCAGGGATAGGGATGAGGGTGCAAACTTGCTTTGCATCTGATTTTCCTAACAGCAGCTAGACCTGGTAGATACAAGGTGGGCAGCATGGAGCCAGTCACGCTAGGAGCCAGGATATCTGCTCCCTGCCCCAGCCAGGGAGGGCCCACTTCCCTGTCCCCTTCAAGTTTTGGTTTCCCCTCCTAAGGCCTCTTAAATGTTAGGAGAACATTCTCTACCCCCAGCAGGGGTCACTGAAAAAACAGCCCCACTTGACAGGTAAGCAAATCATGGAGCCTCTATCCCTAGACTCGGGCTGGTTGGTCTCTGTCTTTCCAGCAGCTGTGACTCAGGCGGGAAGTAGTGAGTGGCAGGACAAGGGTGTGGTGCAGGCAGCCAGGCAGGAAACGGGGAACACCGGGATGGAGGCAGGGGCACAGCCCAGGAGCAGCTCCAGGAGAGAAGGGGGCCAGGAGCAGAGATGGGTGGAGCCACAGTATGGCCTCTGGGTGGAATGGGTGGGGTGAAGAGCTCTCAAGCAGCCCACAGGCTAAGTGCCCTGGCAGCTGTGGGGCAGCAGCCTCACTCTCCACACCTCTGGCTGGGTCCCCTTTCCGCCAGGATCTGAGGGATGTACCCTATCAGATAAGCTGACATGTGGCCGAGTTTTGCGTGTACCCAGTTCCCCTCGAACCTGCCCCTCAGAGGGATAGCTGAGTCCAGATTTTTTTTTTTTTTAAAACAGTCAGCTAGGTGCAGTGGCTCACAGCTGGGTGTGGTGGCTCACGCCTGTAATCCCAGCACTTTGAGAGGCCGAAGCAGGTGGATCACCTGAGGTCAGGAGTTCGAGACCAGCGTGGCCAACATGGTGAAACCTCATCTGTACTAAAAATACAAAAATTAGCCAGGCATAGTGGTGGGCACCTGTAGTCCGGTCCGAGCTACGCGGGAGGCTGAGGCAGGGGAATCGCTTGAACCTGGGAGGTGGAGGTTGCGGTGAGTTGAGATTGCACCACTGCACTCTCCCGCCTGGGTGACAGAGTGAGACTCAGTCTCAAAAAAATAAATAAAAAAGAAACAGTGTCTCACTCTGTCACCCAAGCTGGAGTGCTGTGGTAGTGTAATTTTGGGTCACCACAACCTCTGCCTCCCAGGTTCAAATGATTCTCCTGCCTCAGCCTCCTGAGTAGCTGGAACTACAGGCATGCACCACCATGCCTGGCTAATTTTTGTATTTTTAGTAGAGACAGGGTTTTGCCATGTTGGCCAGGCAGGTCTTGAACTCCTGACCTCAAGCGATCCATCTGCTTCAGCCTCCCAAAGTGCTGGAATTACAGACATGAGCCACCGTGTCTGGCCTGAGTCCAGATTTCTGCCAAGGTGCTGGGTAGGGGAACTGAGGCAATAGAAGGTGGCATGAGTCAGCCTCTCCTTCCCGAAGAGGGCCTCACTAAGTACTCTATCCCCAACTGGGTAAGACCAGAGAGGCCTGCAGATGTTCCCTGGGGTGGCCTTGGCATTCCCACTGAGTCATACCTCTTCCCACCAAGGAAGAAAGCTCTGCAGGCTTTGCCCCGTGGTGCAGCTGCTGGGCCCACAGCAAGCGGGCAGTAATCGCAGTGTAGTGCTTCGCGGTGGCAGCTGCTCTGCATTAAAACATCTGCTTCCACTCTGGGAGTGCTGAGTCCCAGTGGAGGAGGGAACGATGAGAGAAGGGAGACATTACCACTCCACCTGCGCAAACAAGGCCAGTGGGGCCCCTGCAGCAGGAGAGACAGGCCCATAGGTCTGGTTGCTTGATGCTTATTCCAGGTCCCAGCACTCAAGTCATAGCATCTGTTCATCTTGGACCCTCTAACTCCTTAACAGGCTTTGATCTGCTGGGAGGCTGAGACCTGCTCCTGTCCTTTCTGGCTTCAGTCTCCCGTGGGCAGA